CAGCGACCTATATAAAATGTAATAACTGCATTCTTTTAACAACAGATTTTCAACATTCTCTTTGTTCTTTCTCAGAAAATCGGGTCACAAATAGTTTCGCGTCCTTGTGATCAAATCTGTAGAGAAGAATCAGCTAACTTCTCAAATTTGGGAAAAGTTGATTAGCAAGTGTATTATCTCACTTTTCGATTGTCACAACCATATGTTAGAACCTGATCTACAACCAAGTTTGTATGCACTTGTTGTAATGTACTTGACAAGTTGTAAGAGCAAACGGGTGGTCCATTGCTATCAGTTCATATATCGTTCATATTGAATACGTAACAATGAAGTAAAGAACTTTAATCTTCTAAATGGATGTATATAGGAGAAACCTGAAATAGATCTATCTATCTAGCGATATGTAAGAGATTATAATACACACAAATTGAGGATTTAACAAGACTAGTAATTCATTAATTATTGGAACCCACGTAAAACAATTGTAATACAATAGATATGAATGAGTTATACACATCTCTCATTAGGTAAGACAACAACTTGTTTCGAAACATAATGATTTTTTCAGCGTTCTTTTGTGAACAAAATGTTTGTCGAACTACAATGTGTTAATTGAAAATTATTAATCTCATAGATTAGTTTCGTAATCAGCTTGTATTACCACTAATTGCACGATTACAGTGTGGAATTGAGTATTTAAAGAACTCAAAATGATGGTACAGTCATATTTCATCATTTTTCAAAAAATTCATTTTTAAAAATTTTTTTGTTTACTGTACATGTACATCTATCTGCTGCGATGTACTAGCAGTAGTTATACATGTTTTTAAATTACATTATATATCTTTAAACTTAAGAATGCGTGCTTCTCTTATCCTGGGCCTTGCTCTCACAGTATTCTTCTTTGATGCTGCTCATGGGCAAAACAAAGCTACATTCAATACTAAGCTCAACAAAATATGCACAGCTTTCTTAGCAGTTTCTGATATGGGAAAGGTATAACTTCTTAAAGATATATTTGTATTCTTACTTGTTTGCTTTGAGGTTTCCGACAAAATCTTTAAAGACGTTTATGATGAAAAACCAATGAAGAACATCTCAGCAAGTTTGTACATATTCTCTAAATAGCTATGTTATACTATGTGCAGACTCAATGGGATACTTAACCAGTGCTTGTCCAATCACAAAGTATGGAACCTTGATGAGTTTGATGAGCAAGAGTAAGTTCATTCATAAAGGCTTCTGTTGATATTTTGTGTCAGATGATAACTGTTTGAAAGCTGCTGGTGTTAAGGAACGCACATTAGATGTTGTTGGACAGCTTGGTGAAATCCTTTCTGAAATGTTGAAGAAACCATACAATCAGGTAATACTTTGATACAATAATTGTTTTTATTTGGCACATATCTTTTAGCTCAAAACTAAAGCTGTCGCCTGTAAGAAAAACAAGGCTGCTGAAGATAAATGTATAAATGAAATGTACAAAATCGGAACTTCATGTGCAACCAAAGATCTCATTCAGAAGATTGTCACCAAATGTGCCAATGTAAGTTTGAATATTACTGATCAGCTTATAATACATGTTTTTAGACGATGAAATGTCCAATCTGGGGTTGTGCTATTGAGAACGTGACAGCCTTAATCAAGTTGAATGAATACAATACAACCAGAACAAAGAAATGCTAAACATAATTACATCAATAAAAGTTTTTTATTTTTATTTTCTGAAACATGAGCATTGTTTATTTTTCGTGTACTTATCTGAGCTGTAGATAATGATTATCAGACTAAACGACGTATGAAAACATAATGACATCATTCAAATATCTCTTAAGACTCTAATGTCTCAATCAAACATATTGTTTTTCAAACGTGTGATAGCTTATCCTACCTAGAGGAAGATTTTCTGGCAGTTTCATATAAGTTTGACAAACTGTCAGAATTGTATCAGAATTATGATATTTCGTCTATACGTGTGTCTTCTGCTAACTATAACAACTCTCGCTTGCTTTTTGAACTCATGTCCTTATCGTCGATACGGACGTACTCTAACGTGTGGAAGCTGCGGTATCATTATATTCTCACCTCTCATTATCTCAATTATAACAACTGTCAGGTCCTCACGGTTCAGGTGCTTGCGTATCTGAAAACAAGTGCTGTACAACAGATATCTGCTTCGAAAGCGATCGCTGCATGAGCATGACCGTCTGTCCAACTTTTTACTGTAAAGTAATAATATATATATATAATATGCTATAATAATTGTTCATCTTCAGATCTCTGGAATACCAGGGCTTTGCCAGGACAGCTTTTGCTGTGTCGAAGGTAAAATAATAAACAAAAAGCTTCTTAACACTATCAAGTCAACTTCAGACGAATGTATACTAAGTCAGATGTGCTACTGAACTCAATGGATTCTTTGAAAACACTAATTTTCACTGTTTTATTTTTTTTTTTGGAAATAATATTATCAATCGATAAAGCAATTATAATGTACAATTGAATATAAATTAAGAACGATGAGAAAATAAAAAAAAATGAGAATCCTATAGTTATTTGGACTTAATCGGCTGACTATCCTTCCGTGTTGGTTGAACATTAGTTTCTTCGTTTTCAACTAATATGACTTCTCGTCGCTGTCGTGATTGTTTTCGTTTTCGTCGTCGCTCATTACGTAACGCTTCCCTTTCAAGAAGATAATGCTGATGATCTATTTGTTTAGCCAATATGTTTGTAAGACACACAAGAACACACTGAATGTTAAATTGAGTCAACTTGATCTGTAAGCCAAGTACTTACCACAGGTACTATAACAAGTGCCATTACTATGCCTATATGGACAGCATTTGTTTCCAAAACAGCTCGTAAAGGAGCGAGACATCCACGAGTGTAAATATCATGCTCAAGTTCAATTGGCTGCCTATTCAACGCATTCTGCCAACACTGAAGTGACCGCATAGCAGGAAGTAACGGATTACTTGATCCAGCCTACAACAAACGGAATGAAAAAAAACTCGTTTCATGTTTCGAGAATTTCGTTTTTATCTTACCGCCTCTGTCAGCACTGACTTTCGACAGCAAGAAAATGGAACACCGCATTTTTCCGGTTGTGGATTACTTAAGGAACAATTAAACACACGATTTGAGCCCCAATCTCTATAACCCTGTCCAATGGATGAGACACCACAGCATTGTAACTGGAAAATCAAAAACTAGAATTCTAATTAAAATAAGCTTTTACATTGTTTTGTATCGCATCCACGATTTCAGCTAAATTTCGATTCGAATGATATTTCTTAAGCGCGAATAACATCAATTCCTGAGCTGACCATGCGCCTAGTGAATCCGTAAAAAACACAACAAATGTAGAAAATGTAAATATGATTGTGAGCAAATAGCAGGCAAAAACCGAAATGGCAAACTATAATGATTATAATAACTGTATGATATAATTGTATATTCTTCTTACGCATTTCAATAGAAATATATTATCTCGTAAAGCACCTAATGAACCCATCATTGATATTATACATATTGAAAATCCTTAAATAATATTAATATATTATACGTAATCATATATATATGATAAACGAACCGAAAAAAACAAGTAAAGTAGCTGGATTAATGATAAGCTCCCATGCTTCTATATCTGCGAAATCTTTAACAAAAAGATAAACAGCTAATGCTAAAACAGCTACTCCAAAAAACTGTAAATATAAAGAAATATTATAATCCATCTATGGCTATCTATTCTGATATCATCAGAATGTATATATCATTCAACTTACGAAAGCAGGAAAATTGATAAAGAACAATAGCCATTTTAAACAAAATGAAATTTCTTGGCGTGGCTTCCTTTTTCGTTCGCGCTTCTTATGTTCACCCCCCGCCACATCATGAGCCATTCAATCTAAATCAACACTAATCAATAAACATCTGGATAGACATATGTAAATAAGGATAATAAATAAAGAATTTTAAATGATTATGGGTTGTTTTCAATATATCACAACATATACATCACATTATGTTTAAAATCATATTTCTTTTCTTCTTTTTTATTCTTTTCATGAAAAAAGTATTGAGAAATTTGAATTTATGTTCTATTTCTCAACCTTGAAACTTCACAAGGACACATCTTTTGGTGGAAATTGATGTCGAATAGAAGAATGATGAACATAATTATGAGAAACTATCTCGAAATCAATCTATTGAACGAAACAAAAGCATTAAAAACAAGAAAATGAAGAATAAACTATAAGATTCACACCTATAACCATATATAGATAGATATACATATATAGATACATGAAAGAAATATTAAGAATATTGAACGTCTTTATCTTATGTGTTTTCAGGAAGCAAGCCAAGTAGGTCACCAAATGTAAAGGCCACGCTTACTTCAATGAGACCTATTGACGATGATGGTTGGCTGGTGAGAAAATTGACCATCCTATCCTCTTACTGTTGAACAAAGTTTAAAATGGGGGGGGGGGGGGGAAAATGAGAAAAGAGAGACGACGGCATAATTGAAACTATGATGATGAAGAAAAAGTCACAATTTTATAACAACAGTCATGAATTCTTTCAGTCAGAAGAAGAAAAAAAACATAAAAAAACGAAAAACCTGTTGTACAAACAAGTCCTTCTATTTTGGTTGATTTAGAAAGAGAAGAAGTGTAACTGGTCCTAATTAGATAAAGTTCTTATTGAGAAAACGTCTCTAAATGAATATTGAATCTATTTATTTCCATTTCATTCTCTCTTTAATTTTTTTTTTTCAAAAAATAATTTTTTTCTTGTATTTGATCTCATTTTATCCGAAAAATATGAAAAAAACTGTATTATCATCATAAAATCGGTGTTATCAAAGAAATAAATAAATGGTACGTGAGATTACGAGAAGAAAAGATAATGATGACCTATATATTTATATATGATTGTCTTGTATATATGTTCTTATTGGGTAATCGATTTACGGTTTGGCGCCCAAAATACAGACTGTAATTGCTATTCTTCAGCCACCTGCTCTTCTCTCATTGTATTCATTCTGTTTTTGCATTTATGACACTCCAATTAAATTATTTTGTCCATTTAGAAAGAATAATGGCATTATTGAGTGGAATTGAAGAGTCGAAGGTTGTTCTCGAGAAGCTTAAAGAACGAATTGCATATTTGAATGAAACAAATAATATTATTCCTGTATTGGCTATAGTTCAAGTATATTATATATTTATATTATATATTATTAATATTATATTAAGGTTGGAAATCGTGAAGATTCTAATGTGTACATTAATTCTAAAATTCTAAAGGCTAAGGCCATTGGAATGGAAGGTCGATTAATCAAATTGGATCAAGACATAACTCAACAAGAATTGGAAGATGAGATAGCCAAACTTAATAAGGATGATAAAGTGGATGGAATCATAATTCAAGTATGAATATATAATAATAATATAATGAAATATTTTATATTTAATATAGCTTCCTCTCGATTGTACAAAGAAGATTGATGTGGACAGTGTAATAGATCAGATTGATAGTTGGAAAGTAAGTCATATCTGGTTTTTCGTTAGTGATAGTATATATATGAGAATGAAAAATTCGCATCACTTGATTAGTTTTCAAACCGATTTGTTAATAGGATGTCGATGGACTTACGCGCTTCAATGCTGGTCGTCTACATAGAGGAGAAATGGAAGCGATAACTCCTTGCACGCCCGCCGGGTGTTTGCTTCTCGTAAAGAGAGCACTAGGTAGAAAACAATGTAAACAAAAAACGGAGAACAAAAAATGTTTAAGGGGATAATGGTCAACTTCGAGGAAAAACTGTTACTATTGTTGGGAGATCAAAAATAGTAGGTGCTCCTGCACTTAGCTTGTTCCTATGGGCTAACTGTACAGTAACAGTTTGTCATTCTCAAACAGTTGACTTGAAGAAACATTGTCAACAAGCTGATATATTACTGGTAGCCATTGGAAGAAAGCATTTTATTAAAGGTCAGATCTCTTAAAACACTTTTAATAGGCATTTAACTTCATTTTATTACTACTAAAGTGAACAATCAATATTTAGGAGATTATGTCAAACCAGGAGCTATCGTCATTGATTGCGGAATAAACGTGGAACCGAATGAGGATAAGACAAAGAAAAATAAAATTTACGGGGATGTCGACACAGATGAAGCGCGAAAGGTATGAAAGATGAAAAATCTGGTATGAAAGGAAATTTTGTTTAGATTGCTTCATTCATCACGCCTGTCCCAGGAGGAGTTGGACCAATGACTGTCGCTATGCTTCTTCATAATACTGTTCAACAATGCTTCGCTCGTCGTCTTGGAACAGTCATGTCATTGGAATGAATATTCCATTGTGTCATACAGAGCTCATGTTCAGATTTTAAAGTTAACAGTCAATAAACAATCATGACATATCTCATATTATCTCTTCATAGGAAAACATGTTCATTACGGGAGAGAGGGATTTCATCGATCGATTGAGAAGATTGAAAGATTAGCAGTTCGTAATTACAAGAGAAATTTTATTATTGGAGAACACTTTCTCTATTCTATAAGATATGACAGAGAGAAACAGTAGATGACAGACGTTCCTTATAAGGCTAAGTAAGGATTATTCAAGCTCGTTGAGATGCTCTCATTAGCATATGAATGATTTGGATTGATTCAAAGAAATGGAAGTGATGTTTTCATTGATTGATGACTCATTCTATTGTAGTCTGATGAGAAGATGAAATGCAGAGAAGTCAATACATCTGTTAAGGTGAAATGGTTCAATGGAACAATACAGTTTGTTTGGTTTGAAGAGGGGCAATTTAGGTTATCAAAGCATGAGATTAAAGATAATAAGTTTTCATAAAGGTATTGTATTGAAAGACATTATCCTTTTCAATGTTTGTTTTTTCCTTTCTTGTTTGAACATCACTGTTTTCTCTTCTTTGTCATTATTGCGAGTTCAATAGACGAGACATCATTTCTATTGACCGTCCATCGGATAGAAAGCCTGAGTATATACTGTGCATGAAACTTCGAATGTTTCCAAATTGAAACTCTATTCACTTTCATGAGCTTATCAAAAAATTTTATTTTTTTTGCAGTTACTACTCAATCACTTGGTGTTTTTTACTATTTGTCAGGATTCTTATTGACAGACGTTTACTGGCGGATATATAGGTATGTGGATTTGCTTTATCACCTAATTGTTTCATATCCAGCAACCACCTTCAACTGGTATATGTGTTTATCAAGATTCTCTATTTGATCTATTTTCATTGATTTTTCTTTTAAATGGACGATGAGTAAGATTTCGAAAGAAAGCATACCATAGTTGGATACAAAGAGAGTTGATATGAAATGATCCCTTCATCGTTACTATTATGGCATACTGTATTGGATGAATGGAAAACCTTTTTACAATTCGCAGGTTTGAATTGTCTTTTGTGTGTTTTCTTTAACCAAACATGTAAAACTCTAGCTGATCTCGATTTTCACCAGTCATATCATTAAATAGCTGTAGCTTGTAGTTTTCATCTCATTCCTTCATGTTCTCTTTTTGGAAGATAACCCTAACATTGATTGCTTATTGGGTACATGTTAGCAGTGCTATTCAGTGTTTCGAATGTACAGCATCCCAGGTAATGATTGTCGATAGTATGAGTGATATGACCAAACTACAGGGTGTGGATTGTATTGAACAGGCGGTTAAATGTGAGACAGGATTTTTTGGTTGCCTCAAGATAGTTGCAGTCAATGGCGGTGTTGATAAGAGTAGGTTTTTTTTTATTTTCTGTTTTTTTCACGAACATGTTTAGGTGGTATGTGGACATCGGACCAACAAAGGCGACTCTTGTTAACAACGAGAGGATGTTCACTGTTACCCTTAGGAAGTAAGAAACTTTGTGTTAGTTATAAAGTAATTTTAAATGTTCAAGATGTTGACGTATGTGAGCAGACATCCATATTAGGAACCCGAGTCATCAAGTGCACATGTTTCACGGACTTCTGCAATGGGACGAATGGATACCATATGAGTTGGGTTTACTTATTCATCGTTACATTCCTCTTTTCATTATTCTTCTAAAGCTATTCTCTCTTGTTCATAGTTTGTTCATTCATAGCTAATCGCGCTTTTCTGTGTGAATATCATACAGCCATAGATGAAAGTTAAAAATCAGAAGTTTAATTTTTTGAGATCATATAATGGAAACTTAGTAATGAGATCACAAGAAAGTTACCGTCTAACAAAAAATAGGTTTAAGTTCATGTTCGAATGGTAAGGAATGGAAAGTGAGAGGGAAAGTAGTGTTGATCTAGTGGTTTGGTACCAATTAATGCTTGGAAACTAAGGGTTAGTTATGAACTTTCCCTGGATGTCCTGAAAAGGTTATTTGTTGATGAAATTCAATTGCTTGACTTCTCACCAGATGATGTACTGGATAAACTTCTTTTTGTTTTGTAGAGAACTTCATCGTTAGTGGAAAAATCCATTTTCAAGGCACTCTGTAGCGTTTCTGTGTAAAACTGAACTTCCTAACTTATAACTCACGTTGGTATGAGTATTGAAACTCAGACTACTATCAGAGTCGGAACAGGCTGAACCGACAGATGAGTCAGACAGTCGTCGTGGACGAACCATGACCGATGAATAAGGCTGTTTATCTCCTCTTGAAAGCAAACATTACAAAATAATATTTTTGGTATACATACCTAGATTTAGAATTAGATTTCTTTATAAGTGTTGAAAGATGTTCAACTAATCGTCTGAATCTTCTACTAGGTCCGGCTAGAAGAATAAATTGAACGATATAAGTAGGAAACTCGTCTATGCATGGCTCAGCTGATTCGATAATCTCAACCTACAAACATGTATTTCCCTAGGTCATTCTAGCTTTCTTTGCTTTACATTCATTTTTATTCCTCTGCTAAACAAATTTCCACCAGCTGTTGGCCCTCTTTTGTATTCAACGCGGAAACTGTTTTGACCAATGACAGAATGACTGAGTTCATGGATCTTATGAATGAAGCAAGTAATATAATCCTCTTGAGAATAAGCAAACCGTGAGAAAAGCTCGTATTAGCTCAGCCTTGATACTGTTGAGTGTTTTACCCTGAATGGGAAGGCAATGTGTATCATCTTTTTCCATATTCATTGAAGATGTCAGAGAACCAAACCATGATTTCTTGATTAGGCTAAATGAAGTTGAAAATGAGTTGTAAAGGCCAAAAATAGTTCTCACTCGTTAGTATCAATAAGTTGGTTGTCCTCGCTGTCACTCTCATTAGAGTTATTGACTGTTTTGCGTCTATGAAATCTTGGAGTGCCCAAAAAGGAATTTTTGATGTTCGTTAGCTTAGAAATCCATGGGCCAGATGTTCCGACGAAATTAGTCTGGCTTCCCCCGATGATTGAGGAAACAACCTCCGAACTCTCCGATCCCTTTGAGCCAATTGATGGATCACGGCTCAAGCTTTCAGCGGAGTCCTGAAATAAGAAAAAAATAAGAATTCGGTTTTTGAGTAGAAAGCAACCTTGCAGAATAATGGACGAGTTGATTGTTTACTATCTTTCTTTGAAGGAGGGACTATTTCCGAGCAAATGAGAATCTCATTATTATCGTTGTTTGCAGGCTTTTTATCAACTTCTATATTTATATTTCTTGTTCTATCCGTTACGTCACTCATTTCTGTCATTGAAGCAGAAAACACATTCGCTCCAGCGTTTCTTGAAAAGACAAATACAGATGTGATGGTATTGAGTATTATACCTGGGGGAGGAATCATTTTTGGTGAAAAGGCCAACAGTGCTCTTGAACAACTGATCTCTAGAGCTTTTAGGAGACTCATTTGGTGATCCACTAAGACTATTGAACCTATTTGAACGATAATGACGCCTTAAATGTCATATTAGTCTATCATAAGAAGAGTTACATGATTACCCATATGTTTTCCTGGGATTAATAGGACTACCATCAGCTATTCCACCTATTGCATAGCGAACTTTAGATGAATCTGTTCGCTTGCGTGGTGGATCAACTGCTTGAGCTGTTCCTCGAAGTACGATTTCTGTTTCATCCTCTTGAGCCGGTCTTCTACGCTTACGATCCAATAACAAAAAATAGACCATTTTCTCAGTATTATGTCTGGAAAAGAACTTATATGGTTTATCCTCGTATAGTACTGACCTCGCAGAGAGAAGCTCTTTAATAAGCCTTTGTTTATCCTTAAAGCATCCTAAATTGTTCATATGACGCAAAACATCTGGATCGATGCTGTCTTCTCCCAATATGACGTGGGTCTGAATATTATGAAATAATTTGTTTCATGCGACCACATTATCTAGACCTGCACAACTTGTGCCATCGGCAGCTCGAGCTCCGGCTCATTTTTTGACGTACCAGTCACCCATGGGTGTCGAAATACTTCTGCCAGCTGAACAAAACAAATATTCGCTTTATATTCTATGCAGAGCATACCGAGTATCTTTTAATAGGATCCACTTCAATCATTGCTCTTAACAAGCTCTGTATCTCAGCAGGAACAAAATGAGGAATATGAAATACGCCTTTTTTCACTTTTTCCAACAAATTGCGCAAATTATCATCATCAAACGGCAGGGCTCCCTAACATAACAAATGTTGTTCTATTATAATTCTCACATTCTCCTCTTCACACACTCCCTCAACTTACAACTAGTAAAGCGTATAGAATAACCCCACAGCTCCAGACGTCAGCTTTGCGCCCATCATATTTTTCGCCCTACAATCATCATTAGATATCGATGCAAGGCGTTATTAATGGTACCCTGATGACTTCAGGACATGCATAATGCGGCGAGCCACAGCTGGTCTCCAGCATTGCTCCTTCAACTTGTAAAGAAGCCATTCCGAAATCGGCTACTTTTATATGATTTCTATCATCTAATAATAAGTTCTCGGGCTTCAAATCTCGGTGACTAAAATAAGCAAAGATGAACTTTAAAAGATATTGGTCAAGAATGGCAAACCAAATGTTATGTGAATGGCAAAAATCAAGAGCTGAAATGATTTGACGAAAGAATTTCCGGGCCTCTTTGGACATAAGTCTCCCTTTCTTAACTAGGTAGTCAAATAACTCGCCTCCAGAAACATGTTCTAACAATAGATATCTGAAACGGTTCAATTATGAAATATAATAGAGACATTTGACAGCTTACAAATATTTTTTGTTTTCATAGACATCATACAAGTGCAGAACATGAGGATGCTCAATTAGTTTCATTATGGCTATTTCGCGCTCCACCTATATTGATTAAACGTTTGAAGCATTAACCCACGCATTCTAACCTTTTGAAGAACGGATTCACTCAGTTTGTCTTTATTCACAATTTTAATAGCCACTTTTCTACCGGTTATGCAATGTGTTCCTGTCTTTACAAGACCTTAACAGAGCATGCTTACAATACACACGTCTGACAATAATCACCTGTCTGTCCTTTCCCTAATGTCTTTTCTATTCTATAAGGTCCGCAGTATTGAACTGCACCAAGCCTACTTCTGCGTTCAGCACATTCATTCATTTTCCACAGATCTGAAATGACAAAATTTAATTAAGAATAAAAAGAGACATTTTAATGGTTGACGATTGAGAGTGAACGCATTCAAAATGAAAAAAAAACTGAAACGAATAGCAATGGAATGAATTCTGGGAGTTGAAAACAAATATATCAATCACTCATATCTTTTTTTTTCTTTTTTTTATTTCTCGAAAAATCGGAAATTATTCTGAAAATTGAATGAAAAAGAGCGTGAAAGGGTGAGAAATCTAGATGAAGTAAGGAACAGGAAGATAGAGAGAGATAGAGAACAACAGAGAGAAAATAATAGAGAGAGATAGAGAGAGGGAGAAAATGAGAGGGAGAGAACAAAATAGAGAGTTAATTTAAAAATAATGATTGCTGCTTAATGCATTCTCAATAGATGGTAGGAGTGATGAAAGTTCAAGAAAGGGCGACTAGCATCTAATTATGTTCTCTAGTCAAGAAAGCTTTTAAAAGAAATGCAAATGAGAGATTAAAAAAATCTTCTCTCTTCTCCCTTTTACTATTTTGAACATTCAGTATAGGAAAGACATTAAAAGAGTCAAGCTTCCAACAGACCCTCATCCATCTTTTTTCTCTTCTTTGGCGCTCAATAGCTTCTATGCTACAACTAGTAGTGTTCTATGACCGTCTGCTCAATCTTCGCATTGGCACTACTCCCTCTGTCTCTTCCTGCCTTTTCTCATGCGTATCTCTCTCTTTCCTCGCATTTTCCAATCTCTCCTCATTCTTCATTCATCCTTTTACCACTCTCTATACTATTCTATTTTTCTTTGCACTCTCTTTCTCTCAATTTCCCTTTTAGTTTTTCATTCAGATCTCTCTATCTCTCTCTCTTTTTCTTTCTCTCCGTTCTCTTTCTATTTCCTATTTTCCATGTCTCGTATCTGGCTGTACATACAAGAGAAGCCTTCCATGCCATTTACTGAAAAGCAACTTTCTGAATACGAAAAATAAAAAAAAAGGAAAAAAACTAACACAAGGATTTATGCATGATGAAACTCTACTTACAAAAGGCCATAATCATAAAAGCTCTCAAAGAATTTTGAAGAAAATTCTCCATATTTTCATAAAAATGCAACGAAAAATTCAATATTTCCATGTTATACTCAGTCAAATATTGAGAAAATGCTATGAAAATTCATAAAAATGAAACAACTTCACAGTAATAATTCATAAATCAATTAAGAATTACGAAACAATATAATATAATATAACATATATATATATATATATCTATATGATATAGTAAAGATATATCTATATATATATATATATATCTAGTGAAAAGAAATATTTTGAACAAAGCTATCCACAAATAGATGTGCATGAATACGGATTATCTAGATATTTCTCATTACCAAACATGACAATGAAGCGGAGATTAAGCTTAAACGTCGTATGAATGAACAGTGCAAATTATAAAAGATTGATTTTCAACTACAAATGTTGAAATGTAAACATATTCATATAGCAATAACAATTGAAGAGAGAGAGAGAGAGTGAGATTGTTCTTGAAAACAACCAAAACTACATTCAAGAATGAATCTATAATTCTGAAGCCTCGACGTAAAATCGATTTAGTTTATGGTCTTAAGAGCCAGTTGCACTCACATTAAGCATGTCAATATGCTAGAGCTATTGCCGAAACATGAACAGATGTACAATTAAGCTGCCGTCCCTGTTTGCCATCCCATAATCTTCTGAAAGCAAACAATGTGAATCCACACTTAATGAGCACATGAACACATGTCAGTGTGAAAAAATAATAATAAAAAACATTTTTAAGTAATTGCTTATATAATAATGGGGGGGATGGAAAATGAAAATGAGGTCAAGCACATTTCAACTTCTATTGCCAAGTTACAGAGAGAGAGAGAGAGAGAGAGAGAGAGAGAG